CAAATATTCGATGGGCAGGGAGTGTCCTTTGATAACCACACAAACACTACTTGCAAAGCCAGGATCACCTCAGTAGTTTTACCAGCTGAGCTAAGCCGGGGGTTGGGGGATGGTGTTATGTACAAGCATGAATGCAACTCGTGATGTAGAAACACCCAGAAAGGTTTGGAGAGTACATGATGTGAGCATCCTCATATTGCAGATGTTGTCTGAGATCTTCCTTTCTTCAGGATCCTTCAGTGGGACTTAAAATGATGATCTCAGCCCCCAACCCACCCCCCATCTGAACAATCTTGCAATAGGGCTGGGGAGAGTATACGGTCCATGTTCGTTCACCAGATTGGCACTAAATATGATTCCACTGCTGCAGGAAGAAATGTAAAAGGCCATTCTAATGGGTAGAATCCAATAAACAAATTGCTCACATCTTTAAAATTCAAAGATGAGGACATTGCTGCCTGAACAGCAAAAGCAATCCATTATTAGTCACAGACTGTTCAGGCCAACTAGTCGTTAAATATTGGATGCAAAGCCTTGCAAATGCATTACCTTGTGGTAATTATCACATCATAAACCACAAATCTCCCACCCCCACCCCCGCCCCGCTGTGTCAGCATGAGCTTGACGTGCTCACATCACGTACCATAGGATTCCTGTCATGAACTCAACTGGATGCAGAAGTGTTGTCAAACGCTTTACTACACCAAATTGTCCTGGAAAAGATCCCAACTCCATCAGTAAAAGGGTTTTTCTACTGAAAGCCATTCATCTTTCTCAGAGTTACTAAGCTTATGCAAGTTTTCATGTGCATGCATTGGACAGTAAATCTTGTCAGGCCATTTGACTGGGGATCAAGAGGTATCACAGCCGAGCCTGAACTGGCTCCCACTGACATCCATGCAGCAGGATTCAGGGATAATTATCAGGAGCAGAAACCATGGGCAATGTTTCCCTTCATAACCCAGGGGCGTTGAAGTCAAATGTAGAGCCAAAACTCCTGTCTGACTAATATCAGCAAACTCAACACAGACCTGGGGATTGAACCTGGAAACCTTCTAATTCTGCACGGCTCAGTTTCACACTGGGCAGTCGCTGTGGCAAATGAGCCATGGCATTGGGCTTGATGTGTACACACACGACTGCAACACCTGACACTTGGAGATACCCAGAATGTCAAGTGTGTAGCTGATGAAGGTGAAACAGCGTTGTTTAATGCTTTTTCCAGCCAGCATGTATAACAATAATATTAGCGGAGAATTTTATGCTGGCTTAGACTCAACACCTCTGGGAGAGATAAATGTCTCGCTGCAATGCTGAATTCCTAGTGCTGCTGGAGTTGTGATATTTCCAATTTGTTACAATTAAGGTTTTCAGCTCTGCTGATGCCAATGGTTCCTTATTTGCTTGGGTGCTGTTTGTACTCTCCTGCCCCACCCTCTGGAATTCCGTCCTGCAGTCCCTCCGCCTCGCCCCTCCCTTGCCCCATTCAAGACCCGTCTCAAGACCTTCTTCTTTGACCGTGCCTTCGGTCACCCTCCTTCCCCCCCTGCCCACCCCACCTCTTCGATCCCAACCCCAGCTCTTCCATATTTTCCCCACTCAATTTGTATTGTTGTCCTTAAGAATAAAGGCAGGAAAAGCACAATGTCTCTTAGAACCCGCTTGTCCAACTTTAAAAATGCATTTTATTTTGTTCCTGACATACCTAAATGTAGTGTTTAAAAATAGAAACTTTGCAAAAAAAACAATCTAAAAGTGTCATTAACATGATTAAGGAAAATTGGCTCTAAAGGAGGAGACCTAAGTATGAAATGACATAGAAATTGAGATATAGGTATTTTGTATTGCTGTAGAGACCGAGTTTGCCAGTGGAATACATCAGCACATTTTCCACTGAACTGAACTTCCCTTTGCTCTAAACTAGGCCTGCTCTTCGGCCATTGCTTTTAGGTTTCATTGCTGCCAATTTAAAAATCGTTAATTCAGATAATTTATTGTGACAGCACATCACATTTTATGCAGGTTTGACTTGTGTTTACCACTGTAAAATGGACCACTTTTCTCCTACAGTTCAGCTGTCTCGCCTAGTTTAGTGTTCGAGAACTGCCACTGATGGACCGACTCAAACTTTTCTTTATTCCACGCTTCATTAAAAAACACTGAAATGGAATGGAATTTAAATGCTTAATCTTCTCCATGGGGATTCCACCAGTTGACTTCCAGCGAGATCTCTGCACATGTTGATCCTGCTTTCACTATCATCCAAGTATCTTATTCCCAAGAAAGTGGCAGTGTCACTTCAGAGAACCAAGAAAATATCACATTGCTTCCACCACTAGGCATGAATGATGTCCTTGAAAACAGTAACAAAAACTTTACAAGCTTTTGGAACCTCTTGTTCAGGCTGTATGAAAAAGATTTTAAAACATGGTAAAGAAGTAGGCTGTTTTTTTGACGTCGTAAATAAAACATAGAATCTTTTTTGGTTATTGCAGCTGTTGTACAATGTCATGTACAAAAAAAAACTTTGCCAGGACCTCCTTTCCTCCAACAACACGATTCTCATGAGCTTCAAAATTGTATTAAAATTCTGAAAAAAATAAAATCTAATCTTAACATTTTCCAGAAATGCTACTGTGAACAGCTGATGTTGAAACCGTGGTTGGATACTGATACAAGGGGTTGCACAATTCAAAAGTGTGCTTGGTCTATTAGGAAGCGTGCAGATGGTGGTAATCAGTTCCAGGCAGGAAGGCTATGAACTCGGCTCTACAGAATGTCATTCCCTTCCTCTCCCCTACTGAGTGATTCTGAATTTTGACTGGTTGCCAAATGCATTCCATGCTCCCGACCTTTTCTCCAATAGAGTGGTCGGCCCTCTTGATAGCCCTTCTGTAATGACAGACAATCTACTGCTGAACACTTGCTATTTCAAAACATACAGCTCCCTTGGGGTTAGAAAATTGGACAGATTCAGAGGCTGAGGCCAAGCTTAAACCATAAAAAAATTAAATTTAACGAATGTTGTTGAAACTTCTGGGTTTCTCAAAGCTCAACTGGATTGGATTTACGAATTTGAGCTTCTTTGAACTGGATGATAAACATGTTGCTAAAACTAATAGGTGGCGAATAGATTTATTCCTCCTTATATCCAAAATGACCAAACAAAACAGCTGTATTTGCTCAACTAAAGATTTCATTAAATATTTCCTGAGATCTTTGTCAGAAAAGGAATATCCTTGAGTGACAATAGCAAAACATTTTTTTTGCCACTTCTACATAATGAGCAATAGTTAAAGTTCCGATGTTAGCATCTGAACTGTAAAAATACTTTTCTTTAAAGGTGTACTGCCTTTTTGAAGTACACTGACAATTCGTTTTCAGCTTGTTTGTTTGCCAATACATGACTTGAAAGTATGAGTCTCACTGAAATGAAATTGCGACTTCTGTTTTGCAAGTCTCAAATTACAAAACTAATAAACAGTGAGCTTTGAATCCCAAACTGACAATGTCTGTAACAAAGCTGTCAGTCAAGAACATTTTCCCCACTTGTCAGCCATTCTTGGATCTTGCTGACTTGGATTTACAATTGATTTAATTTAATATTTAAAAAAAAACACATCAATCAATTCACAATTCACTGTTTGTGAAAGTCAAAATCGTAAATTTGCAAACCATAAATTGAAATTAGTGCATCAAATCCCGTTTGAAAATATTGCATTTTAGACTTTACAGTGATGCATTTTAATCTTCACAACATGTTTGCGATCAATGATTAAAATGTGCTACCCAATAAACATTGTGTTATTGCAGAATATGCCTGAATTTACTAGCTTTGGGATCTTATAGTGCCTCATCTGTAGGTAATTTCCAAAACAGTATTTCAATAAATTAGATTAATAATTCCATTAAAAGCTGATAAACACCTTTCATTGAATTTTAAATATAACAGCAATAAATCACAAGCTGGTTCCTTGAATTTTAGAGTTACCTGTCAGTGCAGTGAGAAGAAAAATATAGAAGACTGATCAAAAGTGAGATGCTTCAACAGATGGCGAAGAGACTCTTGCCAAATAAAGAGCAAGATAAAAGCAGCTAATGAACCCATCTACTTTAAATGTAGGCTGCCAATAAAAAGACTGGGAGATGTAAAGTTGTGCCACTTCAAAGCAGCATTTCTAGCCATTAACACAGCTAGCCATGGCATGTGCCAAGCAAAACATGCAGTCACAAAGCTAGGATTGGATTAATCCCTTCATTAGGTTAAAGAGTTGTTTTGTTTTACAAGGAGATCACGTGAAGCAACAATCTTGCATTCTGGAAATATAACACATCAGGAAAGTAGAGCAAGAATGCATATTGAGGGAGCCTGTACAGCAGCAGGATGCATCCACAAAATGCATAACATTTGTCCGCAAAACACATAAGAATTATGTTTCACAGTAAAATCCAGTGAAGTGCGTTAAGATGTCCTTCTGGCATGAAAGGCACTATATCAATTGCAAGCATTATCTTATTATTATCTCTGTATTGGAGTGCATGGCTCAGATTTTATAAATAGTTATTGATTCTGGGTAATGGAAAGGGGAAAATTATCTGCACTAAACAATAAAGAGGGATAAATGTTACTCATATTGTGGTGATTTATCTTTGCTGATGTTTATCATCACAATATGAAAAGTGTATCCATTATGTATCATTAATTAAATACGGGTAATTTTCTTCCTCTTCACACCCACTTGCCACCCAATAACGATGAGCACTGTAAAAGGTATTCCCATTCCCTCAAAAATCTTGAACTCCAGGTAAATTTTGCATTCTTTCACAAACATACTCAGCGGCATTAAAATGTAAATACTGAACCATACAGTCTAAATGCTCTGACATTCTTTTCAAATATCAAGTGATTTAAATGATATGCATTTTGCAATCTGAAAGATGTAACAGGAACTACAGAAACCATCAAAGGTTTGCGAGGAGAGGTACTTGCTTAAACTTACATAGATGTAGTCCTGTTTATAGCGTAAGTGTAAATTGTGCATGATGGCCCCTTCGTGCAGCTCTGCCAAAGTCGCCATATCCTCGACTCCCTTGATACTGGAGGGATGCATGGTCACCACTTTTTCCCTGGTCAGGGCGCTTTGTTTATATGTGAATACCTGTATAAGAAAGAAAAACAAGAAATATATTAACCACATGAACACGATGTGTTCAAAAACTCTCAATGTTTCCTAGATACAAAATATTAATCCTTGCATTTTGAGTTGCATCTTTTCATGTCATCGAGACAGGATATGCTGCAAAATGGTGCCACAGTGTGTATTTTGTGGATGAAATTGGCAGCCAATTTGCACCCAGCAATATCCCACGCCAACCATGGAGTGAGCGAACAATTTTATTTGGGGTTATCCGGTAGCGTTGTTTGCCTGTGAAATATTATTGCTGTGCAAGATTTTAACAAAAGCCATAAATCGATATGAATTACACAATTTATTTAAGACATCACAAATCACCCATCGTCTCTGAGATATTTTACAAGTTAGCAACACAATTTGTTGTTCCACATTCTTGAACGCTGCATCTTTGTTATTGGAGTAGGAAGGATCCAAAACAGATGGGAGAATGATTACATAAATTTCAAGCGGTTTTACATGCAGTGAATAAAACAAAGAGGGACATACACAGAGATTGAAACAAAAAAAATCAGGTAAAGAATGAACCTCCCAGTTACTCTGTGAACCTCAACTTTCAATGGCATCAGTGGCAGTAAAAGTTCAACATGAAATTGACAGCAATAAACTGTAATTGGCAAATCTGACATCAGTTACTGACCTCTGATGATAGAGCTGCATTCTATTGGCTCATGAAGTACAGGAGAAACTGAAAGGACAGAGACAGTGCCCCTAATATGCGTAAACTAACTAAGGCTAAATTACATAGATTTGGAGCTTATTTAAAATCTGTTGGCTAATCTCAAAGTTCTCATGACATCTCGCACCTCACGGGGCTTAGATTTATCTTTCTAAGACCATGTTTTATACCTGCTAATTTATTAATCCTGAACTTGGGGCCTTGGTGTGGAAAGAAAAATACATGTACCTCTATGCATTAGTGTGTTATGACTGCACAGAAAACTACGCTGAACTGTGCTGAACTGGCCATGTACAGTATACCATTACCAGCAAAATCTAGACAGTAGAATGGTTACCCCCCTCAGTATCCCTTTCCTCCTCCTACAATCCATTTGAAAAAAAATACATTTGGTATCAACTAACCACGTCTCTTGATTTAGCTAGCTTCTCCTATTTCAACACGTGACCCTTGTTATTTGCCCCTCCACCTAACTTTCTCAAAAATAAAAAGCAAGCACAGCATAATAACTCCGACATGGCAAGACCAGACCAACACCAAGTTTGCCAAGTCTGTTAGAGACTGTATCCCTTGAGGGTGTACAGAAATGCAATACACCAATCACTGAATGCATTCAAGGCAGCGGGAGCAGGACTATTATAGGATGAGGCGGTTCAGGGGAATCCTTCAGGACAACCCTCTCCTCTGGGGTTTCTTCTCCTTTAATGGATTATAGAATTTTGAAATATATGACAACTGAAGAGGTGTACAACATCTGTGGCTGTCACTTGCAAACTTAAACAAAAAGGAATCAGCCTAACTCACTTGGTAGCTCAGTCCCCCTTGGCCCCCTTCCCTCTACTCCCAAATCCAACCCTCAGCTCGGGTGCAGACCCACAACTGTCCAGTGTCTTGGGACATCCTCCTGATGTCAAAGGCGGTACATAAATGCCATTTGTTGCTGTTGTAGCATTCTCGCCACTGAATCAGAAGGTTGGGATTATTCATGAAGCTCTTTGAGATATTTTAACTTGATAAGGTGCGATAGAATGAAGGTGCTTTCCTTCTTCCAGCAATCAGATTCAGAATTAGTTTTCTTTTGTAGAGCAGACAAAATCATTTCTGGTAAAAGATTGGATGATGCAGTCTATGGTGAAGAGCCAAGAAGAACAAAAGCCTGTCAATGTGTCACACTGTAGTTACATTTGCTGAATACTGTACAACTGTAATTTTATTTGCTGCATAATGTATTCTAAAGAATTTACCACTGTGCGCTAGAAAATAGACTTCACAGGGAAGAGAGGACTTCAAATGCATATAAAATCTTGTGCATTTGAAATGTGGTCAAACACCACATTAAAGGAGGAAGAAGAATTTTCTGATCCTTGACAGCAGAAACAACTAATTAACTGGTTAAACCAAAATCATGTTTTCAATTGTGTGGTTTCTACAAGCACAATTAATATGCAGCACACCTGCATTGGAGTGTCATCTTAAACTATATGGTCCCAATGTGGAGACATGAAGAATATCAAAGTTATTGGAGAGGCTGGATAGGGAAGTTGTATCTCAAAGGTTGGAGGAGTGGAAAGGAGCTGTGGAAGCATTTCAAAGTAAAGTTGAGGATCTTAAAGATCAATCTGTTTGGAGATAGAAATGCCCCACTAAACAGCCATGAAGTGAGTGACTAATTTTATTTTGGGATTGTGGGTCTAGACACCAGGAGAAACTCCCTTCTCTTTTTGAACAGTGCATGGGATCTTTAACATCCACCTGAAGAGACAAATGAGGCTTCAGCTTAAAGTCTCATCTGAAGGATGGCATTTCTAACAATGCAGCACAACCCCAGCACTGCATTGGAGTGTCAGCCTAGAATATATGAGTTCAAAGTTCCCGACAAGGGGCTTGAAACCACAACTTTTTGACTCAAAGGTGAATAATAATAATAAAATAATTCTTACATTTGATAGAGTGCCTTATCATGTTGTTGAGACATCTCAAAGCGCTTCATGGATTATACTGTAAAGTTAATTAATTGTATATTTTGTGGGTGAAACCTGGCAGCCAATTGTGCACAGCAGTGTCCCACGAACAGCCTTGGATTGAGTGACCAAATTATTATTATAATTTTTTTTGGAAGCAATTATTACCCCTGGAAAAGCGATCTGCCAATCGACTAAAAAACGGGTTCCTACTTACTGTTAGGTAAGGAAAATTGGCTAACCTTTCGCCTCACCCGGGAATCGAACTCGGGTGCTCTTGCTTGCGAAGCGAATACTCCAGCTAATACGTTACAGGACTCCACATGTAGAAAGCTCTCCTCAGCCTTTCCTTTCCCACTAACACTACCAACTAAGCCCAGATCACAACACAATTCAATTGATTACCACTTCACTGATAAAATCCTCCCACACTTGGCTTCAGCATAAGCATTGACATTGGCTAAGGAAAATAGCAATTGTTTCTCCACAGACTTGCCAATGTGGTGTGGGGGAAAATGTACATGCATGTATATATCTTGATTAAAAAGTAGTTATGAATAGTGAAGTGTACTTTAGGATGGGTCTGTAACACTATTTTAACATAGGGACGTTTGTAGAAACCTCTCTCAATTAAGCTTAAAACCTAAATCAATTACTTTTGCATCTGGAATACTTTGTTACAGTTTGGTTTTTATGCCTGTTCATTGCAGCTGTTCTATCAGGCAGTACTGCATACTGCATGCTCAACTTGAGCTTACTGCTTACTGCAGGCTCCTCCGAGCCTTGTCAGATTGTACATTACCAATATATTTCCAGCTGTTTTTAAAGCTGACTGCTCCAATGTTACATAAAAGTTACACAGAGTGATATGGCATAAGGAACAGGTCTGTACTGGTCTGTACTGATGTTTATTCTCCACATAAGCCCCTACCCCTCCTACACCCCTCTAATCCCTTTTCCCTCATGAATACATCAAATTTTCTCTTAAATGCATTGATGCCATTTTCATTGACCATAGGTTCCATGTTCTCACCACTCTCTGTGTAAAGAAGTTCCTTCTAATCTCCTTCATGTTTCTTCTCAAAGTACTGCAGTCAGAGCAACTTTTGAAACTACAGAGACAGTTCACCACAGATTTTTATTCCCTATCAGGGAAGGATAGGGAGAAACATCTTGGCTGGTCAGAACATGGTTGACGCTCATGATGATAAATAGTTTTTGCCATAACCAGTTCATTTGTATTTCCATGAAAAATGCAGGTCTTTGTAGTGACTCAATGGCACTAATATTAAGCATTGGGCTCGGCTATCCTTTTGATTTTGAAACGTCGAGGCACACATTAGTCACAAAAGCAAAATGATTAATAGAATGTTAACTTTAAATTGGTTGACCAAGATACTGGTGGTGTACTGAATTGTGGACTGAGAGAAACAAGAGAAAAGTGCCCAGTAGGGGGAAGTATGAGTTGATTCAACACAAGATGTATCAGAAGTCAGTTATTCATTGAAAGCCAAGCTTTTATCCTATATATTCACTCCCACACCTCCATTAGCTCTCAATCTCCAAACAATTGACTTTTAGGATCCTCATACTTACCTTGAAATGCCTCCACAGCCTTGCCCTACTCAACTTCAAGATATCACTCCGCCACTCATCACCTCCACTAACTCTGGCATGCTTCATGACTCCCCACTGGAATACATAGTCTAAGCTGACACTACAATGCAGTGCTGAGGGTGTGCTGCATTGTCGGAGGTGCCGTCCTTCAGATGTCCAGGCCAACAAATCTCCCAGTAAAAAAATGATTGGTCACTTCATGGCTGATTGAGGGACATTACTGTGTTTAAATTGGCTGCTGTATTCGCCCACAAAATACACAGTCAATAGATGTTACGGTATAGTGGGAAATAAATAATAATTTGATCACTTTATATTATAAAATGAATTGACTATATATTTTGTGAGAGAAATATAGCAGCCAATTCCACACAGCAGCATCCCACAAACAGTCCTGGATTGAGTGATCAAATTTTTTTTGAAGGGATTTCTACCCCTAGAAAAGTGATACACCAATCAACTAACAATTGGGTTCCTACTTACTGCTAGGTGAACAGAGGTGTGTGGAGTAAGGAAACTTACCCAACGTTTCAACCTGCTGGGAATTGCACCCAGGTCCTCTCACTTGCAAGGCAAGTGCTCTAACCACTGAGCTACACGACTCCACTGAGAATGAATGGATTCGGGCCAAATGGCCTTATACTGTTTTGTAAATTTCTATGGTTCTATATATACTGAATCTCACATTAGTCATATTAGTTGGGACCATA